TATTCCTCTGACCTGAAAATCAAAAGCCAACATAAGAAGTGCCCGATCCCTGAGAGATTTGTACAGTCTCATCTGTTTTGATAAAACAGCTTTGTTCTAAGAAGTAGAACTCTGTAAGATAACTGGAGTCCTTTGGATGCAAGTTACTTTCGTGCAGAAGGCTTAAACCAGGGCTTAAGAGAGGCTATTTCAGTAGTAAAATGAATCATTTTGAAATATGCTGATCCTCTACATGTGACAAAACATGCTGTACTCGTCAAGAAGTGCCCTTATGGTCCTTAGTCTTACAGGCAGTGGGTAGAAAATAGGAGAAACAGATTCCTCCTGCCACCTGTGCAATTGAGTGTTGTACTAGAGATTGGGCTGCAAGTGGGCAGAGGATCAGATTGCTGCATAGATCAGTAAATTGCCCAAATTCTGTTTAACCATTAACTTTGGCATCAAATCTAGATAGCCAGGTTAGGAAGGAGAATATGAGGCAAGACCAAAACGAGATGGTAGGCAAACCAGGGCTAAAGCCTTGCAGAAAGTAGAACTTGATAGCATTGACAGCACTGGGCCTAATGCCTTGAAATGCAGTTCCCATGGGAAACTAAATGGCCTATTTTGGTATTCTTGGTGCAGGGATACAGAGGTTGGCCTGATGTAACATAAATCTACATACTGTACTTGAATAACATTTTATTTTAAGAATCATTTTGTATTGGCTGACCTGTAGCATGCAGAATATTTTTATTTTGTATTATTTTGTATTATTTTATAGAGAAGTGTCAAAATCTTAATATATTAGGATAGTCAAAACAGTTGTCTCGTCATTATGAGACTCATGGGACCTTTTCGCACTGCTAGTGAAGTTACAACAATTTTGCTCCTGACTTTAGGGGATAAATTTGGAGGTTTTGTGGGAATAGAGGAAGTTAGCCTCTGAACCAGCAACACTTAGACGCTCTGCGGATCATCACTGGGGTTAGGTAATAGGCAGTGAAGGTTAATATGCTCTGGTCATAGTAGTGGAGGTCGTGAGTTTTTCCCTTACTCTGTGCGTGCGTGCGTGCGTGCGTGCGTGTGCGCGAGCACGCATGTGTGTGTAGGGAGGTCCAAGGCTGGGATTTGCAAGCTTAACAGAAGCTGTGTTGCTTAACAGAAATGAGACTGAACTGTAACCTAATAGCCAGGGGAAAATACATGACCATACATGAACCTTCATTCTGGATTTATTTTCATAATAAAGGTATTGGCATAAAATTTGATCTTTTCTTTAAAGGAGGGAATTTTCATGAGTAGTGTTACCTTATTTTGGCACTGCTCCAGTCTTTACATTAAAATCAATTATTTTACTAAGCATTTATCAGTAATGGATGTTTAAGATGGTCCTGATGCCTAAGAATGTAGTGGGGTGGGGCAGGGCAGGGGAAGAAACATTAATTTTAAAAGAAGCAAGATACTTGCTCTTCAAAACTGAGTCACTGAATTAATGGCACAATGAATTGTCTCAAAGGCAGGTATGTCTTCATTTTATTCATTACACTGTGCCACAAGTGATTTCAAATGGCAAAACAACAGCTTAGAAAGCCATGGAGTGTTTCTAATCTTGCATAATAGGGATATGCTATAGCTCTGTTGCTGTCTGGAAAGAATATCCACTACTGGTAGCTACTGGAATAAAAACAAATTTCTCACATTATTCTCCGTGACAATATTTTGCTGCATCATCAGATACTTAACATGGAAGGCTGCATAATCCAGTCATACAGCCCTAGACAGGAAGAGACTGTGGGTCGCTCTTCATACTGATAGTTTCCTGACGCTCAACACATCATAGCGTCAGTGCTCTAATTCCTCTCTCTGTAGCTGTATACAGAGATCTGTACACAGAGCTTTCTATGCAAAGCCTTTAGATTCTTGCTTGAAAAACAGCCTGTAAGCACTAGGTATTACATCTTTTCCTTTGTTGTGGAATATTTATTCAAGCAATATCTCTGCTTTCAGTGTATATCTGCCCCCTGATGCAATATTCCTTTGTTTGGGACATCAAAATGGGTAGCTGTGGAATTTATTGCAGTGTCACAACCAAAGAATTATAATTTTGGCCCGGAAACTAGTAGAAGAGCTGAAAATGCTTTTGGCATGAAGAAAGTCCATCTACATATAAGCAGATTTGTTAAGATAAGGTTTTGGGGTGGGCAAGAATAATCGAGGCTGAAGAAGCAGCCCGTCCTTCTAGGATAGTAAAGGAAGTGGCGTGAATTCCTAAGTTTGGACTCAGTAGTAGGAAAGGTGGTGTAGTTTGCAGTCCTGCGCTGACGAGAGAGTAGGCTGTGTGATTACAGCATGTCCTTAGGTAGCCCAGGCCACTGGTAGCTCTTTGGATTCTGCCGTTTATCTATCACTGAAATTAATTTCATACCACAGTGAGCTTTTTCTATGAGTTCTTCATAGACTTTCATTTAAGTTTGTGACTTTAGGACACAGAAGAAAAAGATTTATGATCTGAAAAATGCAGCACACAGCAAATGCTGCCTTAAAAAGTCTTTCTCCACGTCCTTCTCCAGTTAAGAATTGCTGGACTGTGCATGTCAGGAAGAGATTTCTATTTTATAATTGTTTTGTTTTCCCCACCTGCTTTAGTCAGCAATGCTCTCATCCCTGGCATTATTAATTCACTTTGCACTGATATACAGAGATGAATACTGCAAAATATTCTGGGGTGAGCTGAACAAATTAAAGAAAGAGATCAGGGACAAGGAACAAAACCAGCCCTATTCCCAGTGAGCAAAACAAAGAAAAAGTACCTACTATTTAAATGAATTTGGATACTATATTTTTCTCCCCCCCCCCTTTCTTTCTTAGCCTACAGGCTGTCAATAAAGAGTTGGGCCCTTGAAGGGTTTTCTAGACAGAGAGGGCTGCAGAGCCTGCAGTCTGTATTGGGGTGCTAAGATATTTTCACTGGTAATATTTTTACTCTGCTAACAGGGAGGGGTATTAACTGACACAACAGCAACTCTCGCAGAAGCTCAGCTCTGCGAGGTGCAAGGTGTTTGCAGCTCCTCGATGAGCATGTTGGGAGTTACAGGTGCTCAGCCTGTGGCAGGTCAGAGCCCCCGGCAGAGGGTTTAACCCTGCAGCCCTCCAGGCTGAAGCCCTCTGGGCAACGCTGCCAGCGCACAGTGTGCTGTGGCGGAGGCGCTCAGCCAGTCACCTCACTTATGCTTTGGACACGACTGAGGTGAGAGATAAAATCATATTGTGAGGAGAGAAAAATTCTCCATGCAGGTGTCTTAAGCAATGACCCATTAAACCTCGAGGGGAGCACTAGGAGTTCTGCCGTAACTTCTCAGGGGGAATTCAGACCCTCTTTCTAGACTGTTCCGATCCGAAGATTGTTTCTCACGTGGGTTCCACCTTGGGACCATAAGGTTTTTAATGAACTGGTCTGCATTTGGTGTTCACCGAGTGGCATCATAGCTACACTGGCTCTTGCTAGATACGGATCTACTCTATTGCATTCATGTTTGCTTTTTTTTCTCCTAAGTTCCTTCAATAATTCAAAATCAGTGAGGGACTGTTAACCTGCTTTATCATGGGATCCTGACCCACTAACTACATATTTAGTATTATTACTGATACTGCAGGGTGAAAATATGTTTCTATCCATATAGGTAAGTATTTCTGCAGGGATAGGCAGTTTGTTCAATGTTGTAAACTTTCTTTAAGAGCTAGCACAAGGACTTAAAATTCAGTAGCCAACGAGAACTCTGCTCATAATTTTCCTTGTGCTGGGAATTTGTCACGTTCTTAACATTAGCTTTATGTAGGTCTTGAATTATAATGATTTTTCTGTTTTAGATGCAATAAGCTGGAGATGATAAAGTTGTCTTGCATTAGTTGTGGTAGTTGTCTTGTAACAGAGATTCTAGCCAAATGACATTACACATTCACTTTACCAGTATCAAGTTGTTGAACTCAGTTTAGTTTTCTACGACTTCTAAAAATATTAGCTTACCACTCTATTAGAAATGTTTTGGTTGGGTAACTAAGTAAACACGAATACAGAACATTAACAAAGAGGTTTTTTTCTCCCTTTTGTTTTCCACCTCTTTCCATTTTTAGGCTTCTAGATTGTCTGTGCCTCAGGGAAGTGAATTTTGGACAGAAATTTTTGAGAGCTTAGTAATTCAATGCTAACAGGTCTTGAGACGTTCCACTTTAGAGCTGGTGCTAGTATTAAAGACAAAGGCAAATTTCACAAGGAGTACACAGAGGCCTATGCAGAGCTCTGTTGTATGCTTTAATAATATTTTAAATTGAAAGTAAATGAAGTGGCTGCCACAAGCTCACATGGCAATCTCCTGAAATGCCTAAGACCTAACAAAATCAATGAGAACATTTCTGGTGGGCTCGATGGGCTTTACATGTTTCTTTGGGGATTTGATCAGTGAAGTTCGAGCTGAGAACTAGGTTTTTTTTTTCACCCTTCCAAAGCTCAGGGGAATTTTGCACCTCATTTTTAGATCAGGCCCATTTCCATTTAAGACACCTAAAAATGCCAGAAGACCTTCTCTTTTATAGTCAGTAAAATAAAATAAGAACATTTCAATGCTGAAACCCTTTTTGTGTTCCTATCTAGGATTTTTGTCATAGCAACCAATAAAAATGATTCTCAAAGCTAATTCAATTTAAGCAAAGCCTATAAGTAGGGATTAAATATACAAACTCTGAAAATACTGTCCCTTGATTTGACACCTGTTCCTTCCCTGAGAATGACTAACAAATGAGAAGACTTTCTGCAGGCTGCAAACTTTGCAAAGTTTCACCATGACTCGTTGAAAAAATCAACATCATAAACAAATTACTTTCATTTCCCTCCCTCTCGTCTATTCACTGCAGTTCTCAAAATGATATCTACGTATTATTCACCTGATTTTTTTCTGCAGTATTTTTGTAGTACAAAATTAACCCTTTCACCCTCCCACACCATCCCTTGATTACCAACTTACCTAGTGGCAGAACTATGAAGAAAGGTAGCCAGCACAAGATAAACATGCCAACCACAATTCCCAGTGTCTTGGCTGCCTTCTTTTCTCTAGAGAATTTAAATAGTTTGAAAGCTAAGGAGTTCCTGGGATTGTGACCCTTGGATTTGGTGTTGTTTAATGTGTCCTCGTGAATGTTCTTGTAATGAATCCGTAAAGTCAGCTCCTTGGAGTTGGACATTTCTTTCATAACCCCAGCTTCCAGGTTTTTAGTAGTCCTTTTGGCCACTATGTAGACCCGACAGTACATCACAAGAATGACAATCAAAGGAATGTAAAATGACCCCAAGGAAGAAAACAAAGCATAGAACGGTTCTTCAGTGATACGGCACTCCTTATCGTCCTTGGGTGCTGGTTCTTTCCAGCCCAAAAGAGGCCCGATAGAGATTACCATGGAAAGGACCCAGACACCCAGGAGAGCTAAAATTGCCCTTCTTCTTGTTACCAAAGTTGGATACTGGAGAGAATAACGTACCCCTATATATCTGTCTATAGAAATTGCACATAGACTTAAAATAGAAGCTGTACAGCACAGCACGTCGACTGCTGCCCAGATATCACAAAATATCCTCCCCAAAACCCAGTAGCCAAGGATTTCCAGTGTAGCAGAGAATGGAAGGACAGTAAAACTCAGCAACAAATCTGCTATTGCGAGGTTAATTATGAAATAGTTTGTAGGGATTCTTAAATGTCTATTGCAAGCAACAGAGAGAATTACCAAGATATTACCTATAATAGCAAAGAGTATAAAGGCACCTAGGATAAGCCCCACAATTATAGCCCTGCTGATATCCAAGGCAGGTGAATCCAGATAGCTTGCTGTCTCATTGGAGTTGTTTGCAGAAAGATTGCCACTGTTTAGTGCAGACACTTTCAAATATCCAGGTGTTGATGAATTGGATTTATCACCAAGGTAGGTATTCATCTTAAAAATCATCCTCCATAGCAAGTTATGATTGGATCCCTTGCACAACACGGAGACCGTTTGAATTCAGTTGAAAGTTATCTCTCTACCCAAGAAGTTGCTGCGAAGCCCCATCCGGTTTTAGGTTGAGAACTCATCTTCCCAGCAAGCTGTCAGCTATGAGCGCATAAAACGTGCACAGCATGAAGTCCTCAGAAGCCTGTCAGGAATCCTAGGCTGTTCAAACTTGCTTAATTTCTCATATCAACTCTTTTAAGTAGAAATTAGCAGCAGAAGTCTTAGCTGAGGCTTGAAAGTAGCTGTTTTGATCGTGACGTCCCTGAAATAAAAAACAGGTTTTCTGGTTTCCCTTGTGCTTTGGTGGCTCTGTTGGAAGGGTGCCCCTGCCTAGCTGCGGTGACATGCGTCTCCAGGCAGGGTTTGTCAGCACTTAGGCAGCGCCGCACGAGCTGGCTGCCTCTGCTGCCGCCGGCGCGGGTGACATCAGCGCAGCCCCACGCGTCGCGGCGCTAGAGGGCAATGCAGTTCAAGTTAAAACTTCCCAATCAAAGTCGGAAAGCTAAGCAAATGGTATGTATCAATCTTAATTAAAGCATTTGCCACATAGAAATCTGGATGGGAAAGCTTTAAAAAAACAGTTTCCTTATCTGAGAAAAATACACTCAGCGGGATGTGGCGAAAAAAGCGATTCCGGTGCAAAGCGATCGAGCACCCTTCGTCACCAAGTAAATGTCTTCGAGTTTATTTTGTAATCAAAGTGAATCACATGCCATTTTAGAGAACTAATGATATCCCACCTTGTAAGGAGAAATATGTAAGTTCCAAAAACCCCTAGTTTATATGTAGATTCAGTATTTAATGATGACATAGACATGTGCATGTAGTAGATTGTTTCCAGTGGTAAACTTTCTTTTAATACAGAAAAAGTAACATGATTAAAATCCAAATCTCTAGTAAGATCTTTATGTTTGTTCTATACTCCCAGGTACTAGGCACATCTATGGCTTCGTCTCACCTTTTTAAACGAGGTGACTTCTCCGAGCGTAGATGGATTGTGTATCCCAGTCTTGAACATTGCTGAGCACCCTTAACTAGAGCCAAAGAGAAGGGCAGTGAAAAGTAGTAGTCCTTGCAAGGTATTCCTTCTGCTTAAGTGTCTTGCTCTCTCTTTGCCAAAGGCTGTGAGATTTCTGAGACAGGGCCCATTAATTTATTGTAGCTCTGGGACTACCTACAGTATCCTATAGAGAAAAAATCCAGTAACAAGTGATTTACTCTCTAGCAGTGTTAGTGGCACTTTAATATTGCAAACAGTAGTTTCTTCATTTTGTGTAGCTTTGGGTCATCAGGTAGGGAGAAAACTCAGATCTTTATACCCTGCTGCTGTTAAAACCAAAAAGTAAAAGATTAGCTCAACATATAACTGCCAAAAATACTGTTTTCAACTTTCTATCATCAGATTATATCCTACAGCTGTTGTCTGCAATACTCTGGGTTACAGTATATTGATTTTCCTGTTACAAAATGTACTGTGTTTAAAATAAAAGGTTCATTTTTAATATGGCAGCTATGACCGAATGTTGCAGCCAAGTGCTGGTTTTAAGGGACAAACCGTGTAAACAAAAGCTCTGGCTGAATTTTATTTGATGAATGTATGGCAGATGTTTGTATAGCCCTTCCCAGCAGCAGTGACTATAGCAGAGCACTATCATTCAAAAACTTTTCTTTGAAATGTTTGCAGGAAGGACGGGATAGCATGTCATGGAATCACTGAAGGGAGCAGGAGCAAACATGCAGTTCATGAGTTTTGCCTCAGCTTTTCTGCCTCTGCTGTCTCCTAGACACAGCTTTCCTTGCTGTAAAACCCAGTAGTAGCCTTTGATTCTGCTGATCTGCCCCTCACACTTACCCATTCTCGCTTGACTACCCCAACCTGTCTTGGCTGTGTTTGTGCTTTCTGATGTTATTCCTCTGCCTTGCCTGTTTAAACTGTGACTTTCTCAGGCGAGGGACCGTGTCCTGCTGTGACTGTGCCGACATAGCTGGGGGGAGCGGTGCTTACAGCTGCGTGCCGCAGGCACCCGGCTGCACCGCTGCCGCTAGCTCCTACTGCCGTTGGTGGAAATGTGGTAGCACGGGAGGCCGCATGGAGTAGCTCCTTGGATACTGGCCCAGGGGTTCTGGTGGGATCACGTAGCCTTCAATGATGCTGCGTCGCCGGGCTTTTAGTCCTTGCGTTAGCTTGATTAAAGCTGATTTAATCAGCTCTACGCAGGTAGTAATGTTACCTCTGAGTACAGATGAGTTACAGTCCGGGTGTATAAGCAATGTGTTTGACAGGCACCAATCTTGATTTCTGCAGGCATAAGAACATTTCTTCGGTTATCATTTGGGATGTAAGAAAGGGTCATCACTACAAAATGAGGAGAGGCCAGAGAAGAAAAGATCACTGAGGGAGTAAACTGGTGCATTTCAGTTTTTAGCTGGCAATATTTAGGACATGTCTAGTCTGCAAAAAATAACAGCGTGGCCTGTAAGTCCTCCCTGACTTTTGCCACACGGTCCCAATATTTCGTAGCCCCACAGCACCAGGTCTTCCAGTGGCCACTGCCGTGAGCCAGCTGGTTCCCCCAGCTTACTGGCGAGGCCGGGACGCCATCCCTCCACCGACAGCAGCAGTGACAGGACCTGGATGACAGGGTCTGAGGAAGGGAATGGGGATTCCAGCTGGTAGTGCTTGGACTAGAGCACCCATTTATTTGCCAGTATCTTTTGCTGGCAGGAGTAATGGGACCAGTCTACTTCCCTTAGTAGTGCTCCTTTCTGTGCCTCTCTTGACGAAAATACAGACAAAAATACAGACAAAAATACAGACAAATCCTCCTTTTTCTAGGGGACAAAGCAGAAGGCAGAGCTATTGGTCATCTCTTACAGCCCTGCTACAAAGTCTGATGTGCTTTCACATCTCTGTTTACCACTCTGTGTAATAACATACTGGCTGCGTAGTCATGAGACTTAGCTCATTAACGTCAGCAAATTGCTTTCAGATCTTCTGAGGCAGGTGCTAAAATAAAATATCAACAGAGAGTGTATCAAAACCCAGGAACGAACATTCACCATTTAGCTTCCTTTGGGAGGACAGTGGAATAGATACGATGAAAAATGGCTATTTTTTCTGCTGAGTTCAAGGTAGCACTTAAGTTAGTGCATTTGAAAGCATCTGATCAGAGAAATGTAAGTTAATATTGGTTACAGAGCTGCTTTAATTCACATGGTTCATAGTTTCCAAAGAAAAAATGAGTTTTAGAGCCTGGAGTTTCTACTCAATGTTATTCAGTAGTGGTGTACAGAAAGACGTGATGCCCTTTGGCTATTCAGTATACTATTGCTGAGAACTTGCTGAAGCAACAAAAAGCTGAACGCAAAATATTTATTTGTAGAAACATGGAGAACATCTTCAGGGGTTCATAGAGCTTGAAATCTGCTGAACTTTTAAAATGTATTTTATCATAGCAGTAATGATCAGTAATGATGTAAAAGGAGTCTTATTGTCATGGCTCGGTTTTGTAATGAGCTATGTTCCTTTTATTTTTGTTTTACAAAGGGATGTTAAAAATATATACAGATATTTTGATCTGATTTCAGGAAAGTAGCAGACGCATTTCCGGAGCATTTTTGTAACACTAGTGAGTAACAACACAACTGCACCTGATTGGGCATGGGAACATGGGCCTACACAGAATTTAAATGAGTATACCTATATAAAGTTTTATATAATTCCTCTTAATTCCTTGATTTAGTTCATCTAATGACTCAAACCAAAAGAAATAAATAAACAGATATGACTGAAGAAAAACAAGGCCGTAGTGTCAGAAGTATTTTGGCTTATTTACTCTGACGTGAGCAGTATATTGAACACACTATCGTATTTGATACAAGTGTTGCTGTCATAACAGCACAAACCAGAAAGGCTTCCTCTCGTAGAACAGGTGATATAGAACAAGGAACAATGAGGAGATTGTTGGATGGGGCTGTAGAAAAATCACACTTGCCTACCAATGCCTCTGATATTAACCATTCTTAAGAAGTGGAGTGCGCAGGTGGGCCTTGGAGGAAGGCTTTATTAATTAATTCGGGGTGAACATAGACTCATGTGATGCATAAAGTGTATCTGCAATTGAGAGAGAGTGTGAGATTCTGATTGTTTGGCTCTAGATAAGTTTCTACTTAATAATTTTCTTCTTTCAGATGCTGTCAGTCATTTAAAATGTAATAGATTAATAAAAAGATAAAGCTTTTTTTTTCTATTTTCATTAGAAACTTCAGTGTTAGCCATGTAGCTGCACTTTAATTTCTTGCTTTATTAATTACAAGCAGTGCAAAAATGCTACTACTGTTTTGATGTAAGTGCTCTTTCTGAAGTCTTCTTTCTCTCTCTAAAGACCCTTGGACGACTCTTAAAATTCACAGACAGTGTGAGCCACAGAATTCATTTCCTTCATTTCCATCCCTCTGATGAGTTTTTCTCATATAAAACCTCTTCGGCTTGACCAGAGTAGTGCAAAACTTCCACAGACATTGGAAATGCACAGGATTATGATTTTCTTGCATTTCGTGGTTAAACAGAAGCTAGGCTCATTTTAATGTGTGCACATACAGGAAGGATCCTCAGGAAAGGGTCCATTTCCATGTTAAGAAGAGAAAAAATGCATTTAAAATGATCACATTTCAGTTGTCCAGTAGTGGTATTGAAATACTTGTGGTCCTTTGCATTTTCAGAGTAAGAAAAACGTATCACAGAATTGTATTAAAAGCTAAGGTTATCAGCTTGAACTTATCAAAAGATGATTGCAAACATTTTGCAATTTTGAATAATCTTTTCTTCTGCTGTGATTTAGTGCTTGTCATTTTTATATGAGAAGAATTTAAAGAGCATATTATAAATAAAATGTAGCCAATGAACTAAAATACTGGCTCTTAAATCCTGATCCAGTTCTAGGCTTTGCAGACTCATTTCCCACATTAAAAGATGTCTTTTTCTCACATTGCTTTAGCTGTGCATTTCACTAGACTTGAGCTGAAGACCCCACAATTACCAGAAACAGACTTCATGTGGACGATGTCAGTTGAACTGTTGTGGACAGAGGGTAATGGACTATGTCTGGTGAAAAATCAGTATTTGGAAGTCTGGAAGAAATATGTCCCTGCCTTAAAGAGAGAGGAAAAAGCACAGCAGCGGGAAGAATGAGTGCAAATCTGTATGTGTAACTTCCAGCTTGAAAACGCTTGGGAAGCTGATGGGCACATCTATTGCTTTGGCTGATCAAAACTGCTATTTTATTCCTTTCTCTTCTCATCTTTCATCCTTTGTTAATAGTCAGATTTTCCTGCAGTCCTTGCTGTGACCTTTTAAAGTACATTTAGATGGCTTTATGAATTTACTAGTTTGTAAGCTAAGCAGGAATCTAAACTCCAGTAGTCCAAACATTATATACAACAGAGTTTGGCAGGGCTTAGGTGCCAGAAAGAAGCCCTGCCTGTAAGTCAATTGCTAGCTCATCACAGACATCATGTGGCATAGCAAATGACCAAAAAACTTGGCCCAGTAGAAGGACTCACGCTTTAAATAAAGCATAACAGAACACAGAGTAAGTATTATATGAGAAAATTACAAAATGAATGATTCTATCTTTAATGAATGCAAGAAAACAGAGCTGTCTTTCTGGAAAAGTGTGCTTGTTGGTCACGTCTGGCTTGTATCCCATTGTCAAGGATAATGTGTACAGAGACGGTCCAGAAGAAAGTACAAATCCCTTACAATGCTGTGCTAAACTGCACTGAGGAAAGAGGATTTCCTCCTGACCCCAGCTATAGATGAGTCCTAAACCTTTGTGAAATATTTGAAATGCACAGGTTTTCAGCGTTTTAATTAAATTAGGGGAAATTTATGGGAACAGGATGAGTTTCGCTGCTTCTATTTTGCATGGACTGACTGTTAGCTTCCTCAGTCTAGCAGTGGCACAGCTGTGCATGTCACAGTTTCTCCCAGAAAGGCTTATTAGCGTGAGCACTGACCTTCGTGAGACAGTCGTATGGCCTCTGGACTGGACGTGCTTTATGCCCGGCCAAAGTGAACTACGAGTGGAGGGAGGCACGTCTGTCCATGCCTGCCCAGGAGAGTCACCCTTAGTATCCAGTCTTTTTGTGCACCTTACTGCTAATCGTGGCAAGAATGACTGGGTTATGGATATAAGCAATGTTGTTTCATTGTATGTTATGTAAGTTATGTGCTGAAATTGCAAACTTATGCAGTTAAAGATAGGAAATGTTATAATTAAGGTTATAACATCTTTTTAATAGGTGCCTCAAATCCCCAGAGTCCAAGCTGCAGTGAAGAAAGATTGACATGCCAGTCAGTCTTAGTCTAAAGAAAAATAGCCTTGTCAAAGAAACCCACTATCCATTTTTTGACAGAATTAAATGTCTCATCAAAAAAGTTAATAGTATTGACACAATACACTTCAGGTGCTGTCGGATGAGCATCTGTCGGTTGTGTTGGGATGACAAAAGTAGCTCCAGCCCCGTTCTTACAGATAGACTGCTAACCACTATGTGGCAAAGACTCAGTTTCTTGAATACGTGCTGAATCACAGCAATTTACATCCCAGTGCTTTAAAGTAAATTACCTGAGAATTAGCACCAAGTGGTGCTAATATAGCACAAGGTCTGCTATATGAACAGCTGAATTGTGTCTGTAGTGGGTGTGAGAATATCTTAGAAAAGGATGGAACAGACAACAGAGAGCAGAAATCTCTACAGCTCTCCCAAAGTAAGGTCAGAGATCTCCAGTCACTTCAGTGCATTTCACATGCTCCCAGACAACAGTCAGAGTAAGATTGGCACGATACATGGGAAATATTGTGCATAGTGGTTTTTCAATTTTTAATGCACCTCATAAAGCAATTGATAAAGCTTCATTCAAGGAAGTGTTTCCAAAAGGAATCTTGAAGCGACCTGCCCTTTACCTTGCATATTCTGCTTTTGTATCGATGATTAGGAAAATAATATAAAAATCATTGTAGACAAAATACTTTTTTGTCATTTGATACCTTTTTGTCAATTCAAAGATAACCCAGAGCTGGATCTCAGTATCTGATAGATTAAATGTATATTAAGATGTATATTAAGAACCTTGGACATTTATGGCCAGGGACTGAAATAGGGAATGCTAATGGGAATGATGCAGCAAGCTCTGTCTCTGGTAGGGGCAAATCTTGAGATACAAGGCGTGCACATTGCGCTGCATAAGGAGAACAGGGAGTTAATCTCCTGTATTCAGGGTTTTTGATCATTTGG